AGTGAACTGACACTGTGTTGGCAACTTCCAGGGTGCTGGGGTTTTCATTACTTGAGAGTGATCAGAAAAATCATGGGACTATCTGAGTTTTAAACTAAGGGCAGGGAAGCTTCTACTGAATTACTCTGAAAAGGAGGGAGGAGACAGAGACAGAGAAGACTGTAATTATATCCCATGAGTTCTGTCCAGTTTGCTGGTTGCACATACAAACTTTATCTCCTTTCCAACAAGGGCTCACCTGAGGACTGTGATTCCAAAGGTCCAAAGGAAGCAAGGAACAAAACAGACTCTTTGATTTTATAAAAATCTCTTCCCTGTGTTGTCCCCCAACCCCCACCACACCACCAGTATTTCCATCAGCAGAGTTTAAGCTCTAAGATCTGGGAGAGAGGAAAACGTGCTTGATAGAAGAGGGAGTCCCGGAGATACGGAAAGGGAAGGAGGCTGTGCCACAGGAGGGGAGAGAACAGGGCTGGAACCTCAAGCACCAGAAAGAGGCCAATGGAGGGGTGGGGGGTGTCCTGGGCTGAGGCTTCTACACCCATCATGCATGGACCCTGTAAGTGCTCCTACTGCTACACCAGCTACAGTGACAGGTGGTGCAGAGGACCGCCACACACACAGGGACAGAGCTGGGACCGAAGGCTGTGTTTGCTCCCTTGGAAACCCTTGTGCCAAGTCCTCTGTTGCTGCATACTCTGATAAGCCAAGCAGGTCATGGCGAGGAGAGGAGATATAAAGACAGAAAGGAGATAAGGAGATGGTAATATTAAAATTGTACTTTTAAGAAAACAGTAGCTTCAAGACACAATCAAAGTTACCCAGGGTTACAATTACTTTTTGACTCCAGGCCTTTTTTTTTTCTTCCAGGGTCTTGACTCCTAAATTCCTAAAAGCTTTAAAGACACAGTAGCTCTGTAATTTGGGTCTGTGCTTTCTTCTGAGAGTATAAGATTCCAGATATTCACAGACTTCCTTCCATCCTCTAGGATAAAACACATTAACTGGGTACCATATGTCTAAACTTCAAACACATGCAAATGGTTTGCATTTAACGTAGCCCACTATGGGTAACCTGAGGGACACTGCGAATATACACCCCAAATCCTGTGAGTTGAAGACAGCCCCAAGATTACATAAACACCTCAACCCCAGACCATAATGTGCCTCACCCTCAAGCACTCACACTCCTTTCTGAGTGTTTCTTTGATTATGCTTTATAAACCTGCCTATGCCTCTCATTGACAAGTCCTGAGATCCTTTTCTGTGATGAGAGTTGATAAGCCTACTCCTTTTGGGGGGCTGGAAGTGAGGTCCTCTGTCGGGGGGACCACTTTGTACCCCACCTGGTGACAATGGGACCTGTCCACATGGGTGTGAGTGCACACGTGTATGACAGAGAAGAGGGGGTGCATTTCCGCGAACTACAAGTAAAATGTAGCAAAAAGCATCATTACCAATGATCTGATAAATGATGTTTATTCTGTTTCCAACGGAGAGAGAAAATCTGGGAGATGTGACTTAGGTGCCAAAATAGGAGAGTTTCTAGGATATTTTATTCTTTAAGAGGAAGCAATGGCTGAAAATATTTGTGATGAGGGCTACAGCAAAAAACTGCACTTTAGGGCTGGGGATTTATCTCACTGGTGCCACTGCTGAGTTTGATCTCTGGTATCAAAACAAAACAGAACAAAACAAGTCCCTTGCAATTTAACAGCGCTTTCAATAACCATTAATTCATATGCAAGTCCCACGATAAGCCACACCCAAATGTGTGGCTCACTCTGTCCACAGTGTATGCCCCTAACCCTGACACGGATGTGACAAAAAGAAGTGGAGGGGAAAAAAAGGATGATATGCTTGCTAATACTTGTAAATCTCATAAAGTATGAAAATGCTGGTGTATGAAACATCTACTCCTCAGTTATCATAACTGCACTTGGAGATCACATCCGCTATGAAGCTTTCTTGAGTCCCCAAAGGAAAACTAGGCATTAGTGGAGCCATTACCCGTGGTTCTTTAGCAATGCTGTGAGGTAGACATCCTTTTCTAAAGCTAAAGAAACCAAGTCCAGACAGGTGAAGTAACTTGCCCCAGGGAATGTACAAATAAACAGTAAAATAGAGGATGGTGCCTAGCAAGCACCCCAGATGGAAAGTGGGAAGCCAATATTTATGACAAATGGCTATGACCAGGCAAAGGCTAAGAATTAAGCTGATGCCATTCAACAGAATGGCCTATGAGACACTTAACATGCCTCATTTGACCCAATCAAAAACTGCACAACCTAAGTGAATACTTTTCTGAAGAAGAAATAAAAAATGTCAACAGATACATGAAATGCTCACCATTGCTGGCTATAAGAAAAATGCAAATTAAAACTACACTGAGATACCATCTTACCCCAGAAAGTAATGACTACCAGCAAAAAAAAAAAAAAATCTAATAATAACAAATGATGGTGAGGATGTGGGGAAAAGATCCCTTCTACCTTGTTGATGGGATATGAACTAGTACCATCACTGTGGAAATCAGTGCAGAGATTCCTAAAATTTAAAAAAATAATCCCATGTGAAGCACTCTTCTAGGTATCTTACCAAAAGATACCCTCTTCTAGGTATCTTACCAAAATAGTTAAAATCACAATCCCCAACTTGAAACTATACTACAAAGCCACTGTGATAAAAACAGCATCATACTGGCAAAGAAACAGACCTGAGGATCAGTGGAATAGATTGGAAGATACAAAAGCACCTCCAGGTAGACTCAGCTACCTATCTTTGACAAAGGAGCCGACCATACTCAGTGACAGGAAGAGAGCCTTTTCAACAAAATGTGCTGGAAAAACTGGATTTCAACTGCCAAAGATTAAAACTACACCCTTATCTTTCACCATGCACTAAACTAAAATCCAAGAGGATTAAAGATCTAAATATTAAAACAGAAACACTAAACTTGCTAGAAGATAAGTTAGGTAGAACTCTCAAAGACACTGGTATAGGAAAAGACTTTATGAACAAATACTTAGCACGGGAACTAGCACAAAGAATCAACAACTGGAATCTCATTCTATTAAAAAGTTTCTCCACGGCAAGAGAAACCACCAACAGAGCTAAAAGACAAGCTACAAAACTTTTGACCAGCTACTCCTCAGTCAAAGGTCTACTATCTGGAATATATAAAGAACTAAAAAAAAAAAAATCAGATCCCCCAAATACAAAGACCTGATTCAAAAATGGGCATCTGAAATGAACAGACACTTCTCAGACAAAGAAGTAAAAGCAGAAAATAAATCTATGAAAAAATGTTCAACATCACTGGTCATTCGAGAGATGCAGATGAAAACAACAATGAAATTCCATCTCACCCTATAAAGAATGGCTGCTTTCAAGAAATCAACCAATAACAAATGCTGGTGGGGTCGTGGGGAGATAGGAACCCTTCTCCATTGTTGGTGGGAGTGCAGACTGGGGCAACCACTGTGGAAATCAGTATGGAGACACTTCAGACAACTAGGATTAGAAGTCCCATTTGACCCAGATATTCCCTGGCTGGGTATCTTTCCAAAAGAATTAAAAGAATGATACCACAGTCATATATGCACATCCATGTTTATAGTGGTACAGGTTGTAGTAGCTAACACTTGGAAACAACCCAAATGCCCATCACCTGGAGACTGGATAAAGAAGAGGTGGTTTTTCTATAAAATAGAGTACTACTCAGCCATAAAGAATGAGAAACTAGAGTCATTTACAGTTAAACAGATGCATATCGAGGCCATAGTCTTAAGCGAAATAAATAGGACACACAGGTGTAAATACTGAATAGTTTCTCTGGTGTGAGAAACTAAAAGTGTAAGTAAGGTTCAAATTGTATAATCAATAATGTGAAATAGGAAGAAAAGGGCTAAGGGAAGTGGGTAGGGTAGGGGAAAGAAAGGAAGGGAAAAGAAAAAATATGAGAAAAGGAAAAAATGGAAACAAAGTCTGTGTAAATATGGAAGGGTGGAGGGGGTGAAGGGAGGGCAGGGGAATGGGGGAAAAAAATAAGAACCAAGATATATAATGTAAAGGTACAATATCCCAATGATGAATGTAACTGTACTGTATACCTAAAAAGTACCAATCAACCCAATGAAACTTTAAAAAATAGTTAAAATCATCAAATTGCAGGAACACATGTGTATTCATGTTTATAGCAACACAACTTATAAGAGCTAGACCTTGGAAACAGCGTACATGTCCATTAACAGATGAATGAATGAGGGACATGTGATACTGTATTTCTACACAATGGAGTACTACTCTGCCATAAAAAGATAAACCTGAGGCATTCATAGGTAAATAAATGCAACTTGAGAATATTGCTAAATGAAATAAGTCAGGCACACAGCTTAAATATCATGATTTCTCTTATATGAGATAATAAAAAATATACATAAATACAAATAAAAAGTAAAACAGAAGATAAACAAATAGGAAGTAGGGAGAAGGGCAAATAATCTCCTCAATTACCTACTCCAATGTTTCAAAAGTATTTTAATATATCTGCTAATTAATTTCATTTATATGTATATTTTCTTAGCCATTAAAAAGACAGTTTTGTGCTATTATCTGTTTGTTTCTTTTTTTTTGTGAAAGAGAATCCTTTATGTCTTTTACTGAGGAACTACTCTGAAGATAATGATACAGTGTATTAACTATTCTTTTTATTATTTTGTTATGAAGTTTTGTTTTATTTTCACATAAAATTTAAAAAAATCTGTCAACTGTCACTGGACAGGGTCTGAGGAGGTCCCCACTGGATAAGGAACCCAGATCCACCCTACCCATAGAATTAAGTTGCAGGTTTACTGACTCCCATTGTGGAAGAAGAATTTTCAGTATGTCAGTCAGAGGTATAAAGGGATTTATTAGGCAGAAAATTTAAAAGCACACACTCAAAGAAATAGAGTGCAGGCCCTCAAGAGACAGAGACACTTTATGATCTAAAGCTGGTGTTTTTTACGGTGTCTTCAAGACGGGTGATCTAGGATGTGTATTCCTACAGGCCGTCTGGTTGTGACAGGAGATGAGGGAGTGGCCAGTCATCTGGACAAGTGGGTACGACCTGTCAATCACATGTGCAGAAAAAGTTTCCAATCCCTGCACCTGAAACCAACCAGAAAGTGCTATCTTCAGTTCCTCTTATTAGACACAGCTAAGTTAGGTAGAAATATTATAGGTAGCCACATAAGGCTAGGCCCTTTTGGGAGTCAGAGTAGAGGATGAGAACACATTACAACTGTGGCTGGAGGCACATCTTCTGAAGGCCAGGCCTCAAGACAAAGACAGAATAACCAGGCCTATATCCCTCCCCAAGGGATAAACAATATACTATAGTTGGCATTACCTGTTCCAATAGTCTAGACAGACATCATGTAGCCTGGTTGGTGACCAAGACCTCCAGATCCATCCCTTCCTAAATAAGTCTATTTTTGCCATGTACATTTGCTACATGACCTGCTTCTCCACTGGATCAATATTACCTAAGTAGCATACTTGTAATCCTATTGGTTGATTATCATTTTGACCCACATTGTACCCACCTTGTGATTTTGCTCTATTAAAACTTCCCCTGTGAAGTGGGGTCTGTGGCAGCTCACTGTTGAGTCCCCTCCTGTCTCTCAGGAGCGATCTCTCTCAATAAAGTTTTCTTACTCTTAACCTCTGCTGTTCCTTAGAATTTGTTTTTTGATTCTTGGAGAACATGAACTTGGCATATCTGATATTCCGCAGGTTGGGAGTTATTTTTCCCCTATAATACTCAGAGTATTATTTCCTCTATAACACTCAGACACGAGATCGAGCAGGTTTTTGATAGGACGCCTAGATCTGATGTCAGAATGGGGGGCTACAAAAGGTAGCTGCCATTAATCTCATGGCCACGCATGGTAAACTCTCTTTGTGGACCAATTTCACTCTGCAGAGTCACTTCTTTTCCTCCCTTTAGTAAATGCAAAACCTCGCTACCTTTTGTGTAAGTCTTAACCAATTCTTTGCTCAGGACGACAGAGACCTGGCTCTAGAAGGACCTCACAGCGCCCCAAAACTCTGGTAACAAGGGCACCTCTCTGGCAGTTTTAAGTGTTAGTTTGAAGCTGAGATCTGAGAGGGAGCACAGTGTATCAGTAAAAAACACAGAGGACAGGCTGTATTGTGTCTTAACATCCTCAGGACTTTCTTCTCTTTCTTAAGTGAATTTCCTGGAAAGGAAAAAGGCCTGAGTAATGGTTTTTGTCCTGAAGCTACAGAATTTCTTTCTTTTTTTTCTTTCTTTCTTTCTTTCTTTCTTTCTTTCTTTCTTTCTTTCTTTCTTTCTTTCTTTCTTTCTTTCTTTCTTTCTTCTCCTTCTTCTTATTATTTTATTTTTTTGTTTTTTTGAGACAGAGTCTCACTATGGAGTTCAGACTGCTCTGGAACTCACTGTGTACCCCAGGCTGGTCTTGAACTTGCAGTGATCCTCCTGCCTCAGCCTCCGGAGTGCTGGGATTATAGGCATGCACCACCACCACCACAACTGGCTCAGAATTTCTTTCTTTCTTTTTTTTTTTTTTTTTTTGGTACCGGGGATTGAACTCGGGTCCTTGCGCTTGCAAGGCAGGCCACCAAACCACTGAGCTAAATCCCCGGCCCTCAGAATTTCTTAAAAGTACAATTTTAAGAGTTTCTTCAAAGTGCAAGTAAAATTTCAGTTTTCCTTGCCTCCTTTTTAACCTCTCATTGGTTTTTAAATTCTACCTCACAACTACAAGTGCGCAAACTAGCCCAGGCCTCACCAATTCCCAAGCGTCCTGTCTCCCTGCTGCCTTTTCTGCAATGCTTCTCTCTACCTCACCTCCACTGTCTCACCTGGGTCCTCCTCACCCGGATTACTGCAGCCAAGCGACCCTCCCTCCACCTTGCTCTGCCAGACTCCACAATCTGGGACAACTGCCTATCTCACTATCTTCTATAACAGCGTAACACAACTGTATTGAATACTAGTTCCAAAAAGCAAAATTCTGAAAGACTTTGAAAAGAGAAAGAAAAACATCGCTAAGCGTATTTTCCAGGGAATAACAAAAGACATTGTTTCAGGAAGTTTTTCTGGATGATCAAATTTGATAGGTCTGAGCCTCTCCTTGTTTTCAACTGAGCTACTTTTACAGCTCTATATACTGTAGAAAACTGATAGTAATGCAAATGAATCTCATCAGTGGAGATGCAAATGTAAGCTTTCCCTGGTCCCCAGGGGGCCAGTTTTACTGAAATAGCACATTCCCATCCCACTCTGGGTGACCTGTGTATGTGCTGCTTTCCTGGGAACCCACCAGGACATCATGCTGGTTCGCTCTGTCATTAGTGAGTTAAGTAAAACCTTTGACACACGTCCCTTTATATTCAAAAAGGAAGTTACAGGTCTAACTCTAGGGCTGGGGATTTAGCTCAGTGGTTCCACCACTTGCCTTGCAAATTCAAGGAATCGAGTTTGATCCCCCATACCAAAAAAAAAAAAAAAAAAAAAAAAAAAAAGAAAGTGTAACTCTAAACATTATTCCTTAATATTTTCCATGGTTGCCTGGATCATTCTGTTGTGTTCTGTTTTGCTTTGCTTGGGTTTCTATTCTATTCTCTTTTATTCCATTCATTCCATTCTAAAAACACAGGATATTCACTTCTGCTTCCCTTTGCAGGCCTCCTCTTCCCAAGAACCCCACAGATTGACAAGTGCCTACACAGGAACATCGGCTTTCTTTCAGGAAAAGACAGGGAAAAGGGAATGCAGTGATGAGTTAGATGAAGGCCAGTAAATTTTGGCTCGAAAGTAAGGAATCAATGAAATGTTATCTTAGCTCAGATCTGAAGCTCTGAGTGTTAAAGGTTTACTGGTTATAATTTCTTGATTTTTGCCTCAGTTATTGGCTGGGGATTGAGCTCAGTGGTGCCATGCCTGCCTGGCAAGCACAAATATTCTACTTCTGTATCCTAGCCACTCATTACTAGGAACAATATTAGAAATGCCTTATGCTTCCTTCCAGAGATAGTTAATACATATTTGAGCAAATACGTATGTGTAAATTTTCCCTTTTTACAAGTTTTTTTTGTTCACTCAACTTTATTTTGGAAAGCCAACCAGATAAAGCACATAGAGAAATTCTCATTCTCTTTCTTCAAGATTTTATAGCATTCCTTTGTATGGATGAAATATAATTGATCAGCCAGTTTTTTTCCCTGTGGAATTTAGATCATTTCTAATCTCTTGCAATTACAAACAAGACTATAATGAATTATCGTGCACATTTGTTGTTTCCTCCAAATATAAGAATAACTGTAGAGTTAGAGGTGGAATTGTTAGGTCAGTGAATATGCGCATTTGGAATTTCAATAGATAATGATTAGTTGCTTTCCCCAAAGAAGGTCCCTTATCACAACTCCACCAGCCATGCAGGAGGAAGCCCATACTCTGACCATTACAGATAATTAGATGTTTCCATCTCTGGCACTCTGAGTGGTGGCAAACACTCAGTGCAGTTTTAAAACTTACTTTTCTCATAACAAATGAAACCGAGTGTCTTTGCATACACTCAAATTTTTGTATCTTGTATTTCTCTAAGAAATGTATGTTCAAGAATTTTTTGGTCCATTTTTCTTTTAGGTAACTGGTCTTATGAGGGTGGCATTTAAAGCTCCATCTGAAGTGGCTTAGCCATGGAGTCTGTGGACAGAGAAGTACGTCCTTAACCAATTGTCACTTTTAAATTCTTTCTCAGATAAATAGATCATGTTAAAGGACCACGTGTAGGTCTTACCCATCAGAATCCTGGAATCAAGTCCAGGGCCCTTAATACCATACCCACGGCCTTCAGGGTCTGGAAAAACCAAATAGCATGGGCTCCCCTTACCCCAGTTCCCACCTTTCAGTCCATTCCTCTATCCAGGTATCCTTTTTTTACCCAGGTAACTCTACAGACTTGAAGGTATCACATTATAGACTTTTCTTTTTTTGAGATAGGGTCTCACTATGCAGTTGAGACTGACCTGAAACTCACCATGTAGCCCAGGCTGTTCTCGAACTCACAGCGATCCTCCTGCCTCAGCCTCCCGAGTGCTGGGATTACAGGCATGCACCACCAAGTCTGGCACATTATAGACTTTTGTTATGATATCCTCCAAGAAATTTTCCCTGAATCCCAAATTGTGTTATATGTCTCTTCTCTGTGTGCTACCTGCACAGAGAAGAAGACCTGCAAATTTCTATTCAAATGTGCTCTAAGAGATCCACCTCTTTTATGAAATAGTCTCTTCAGGGGCAGGCAGGCACTGGGTCTTCTTTGATTTCTAGGTCTAGGAAAGCAGTTTATAAGGCTGGACTGGCCTGAAACTATCAAAAATTAACACTATGATTTTGAATGTGACCTCTTATGCTCCTGATTGCTGCTTCTGAGATATGAGAGCATGTTTCTGGAAAATCAGAAGTACCTCTCACATTTATGAATAAATGGACCAGTGGCTAAAAAGAGGCCACAATTAATGAATTTCCTCATTCTATGCACCTGCTGCTTCTTATAGCAAGAGACACAGCCCAATAACCCATTCCATTGGGATCAGATACTAGACTGGCCTCAGCAGCTTGCCTGACCCATAAATTGTGGTAAATGTGAAGGTCTGCAACTTTAAAGCTAGGTCACAAGAAGCCCTTACAGCTTCCCACTGGATGTTTTAAATGCTTGCTCTGGGCAAGGTTGGCTGCTAGGTGTGACATCCAGCTACTCTAAGACCATCACACTGTGAGAAAGTTCCGCCAACCACGTGGAGAGATCACAGCGTTTAAGAGAGAAGACATGTCCAGCCCAGATCCCAGCTATGTGACAGAAGGAGCCTTAGACGACACCTGCCTCAGCCACCTCTGAGTGCACCTGCAGGAGAGACCAACAAGACTCACCAGCAGAGCTCAGTCAGAACCACGAAAGAGAATTAAGAAATAGTAAGCTGTTGTCTTAAGGTGCTTCATTTTGGGGTGGTTTGTTGCCCAGCAGCAGATAGCCCAAACATAAAGGAACCAGCAGACACAAGATAGTGTGCTTCTCAGGTACCCAGATTTCAGTCCCAGATCAGCATAGCACGGAGTA